TGTCGATTAAATGGATTGGTCGAAGGAGGCCTTGTTTTATTAAAAATTTTAAAATTTAATGAAATTTGGTTCAGGTTGGGTCGAGTCGGGTCAATTGGGTTAGGTCAAATTGGGCAATTTCTTTCACTGACTAGGCGTCTCCTATGCGCGACTAAGCGTTGCTTTGCACGCTTTATCGCCTAGTCTTCCTTAGGCGCTAGTCGAAGAGCAAAGCGCAGAGGCAAAGCTGCCTGGACGACTAGTCGTGGCCTAGGCGACGACTTGACAACCATGCTCAATATACCCCCTCCGTCCCATTTTGATCTTACTTTCTTATCAGGGTTGTCCTAAAATTTTCATCCACTTTTAAGGAAATATGTGTAGTCAATGTTCTTCTCTTTCCACTACACAAACCACAACCACACAAGTTCTAGTTCTTTAAAGATTGTGCCAATCTCATAGATTTAGATAATTATAGGATGGAGTATTATTTTTTTGTTATATTCTGAACTCATAATTATTTTTATTATAAAAAGGTTTCGAATGGGAAACACGTGCACACAAGTTAAAAACATTACTCATGTTTCATTATCAATTTAAATTTTCTTAAGTAAAACTGACACAGAAAACCAACTTTCCTTAGTAATTCTTCTCTTTTTTGTACCATTTTCCATGATCTGCCCAGAAGCTGTTATGCCTATTTTCTGTCTATAGGATTTAATGGAGAAGACTATAGTATTTGCACTAGCAACTAGACAGAAGCGGTTTAGCAATTCTCTATGCAAGCTTGTTGAGAAGTATGCTGAAATCTTAGCCAGTCAGGGGCAGTTAAGTACAGCAATGAATTATTTGAAGGTTCTGGGAACAGAGGAATTGTCTCCTGAGCTGACAATATTACAAGATCGTATATCCCTCTCTATTTCCCCCGGTTAGACCCTTACGACAACAAGAATTTGAATGCTTGTAAAAAATTATTATTGCAATTTGAATTATACTCTCTTTGCAGAAAAGGACACAATGTCTATGACTTATGAGACCTCACAGTTGCAAACTGGACCTGAATACAACATGGAACAATCACCTTTCAGCGTAAATGAGGCTTCTCAGCACTTTTATCAAGTAATTAGTTCTCTAATATGTTGTGCTCGAGACTGTATTATTATTAAGCATTACTGTTCTTAATTTGTTTCTCCTTTTCATCTGCCGGGTAACAACTACAAATGCAGCACTCATCAATCTATCATAATGGCCAACATCCTGGAAATTTTCAGCATCATCTTGGTTCTCCATACATGGGATATCCTCCCCCCTACCTGCCTACTCCACCGCAAACTGTCCAACAGCCCAACATGTTTCTTCCAACACCGAGCTCTCATGTTACCCAGGTATTTGATAATGTTTTACAATATCTCGTGATTGTTTTTTTAAATAATAGCCAGTCTTAGGAAGTGACCTTTTCGTGAAACTCACTTTCAATTTATGCCTACGATGCCTGGAAATTCTTAGGAAGTGACATTTTCGTGTTCAGAATTCTTTTACACTATGTTTGGTTCAAGGAATTTGAGACGGAAAGGAAAAGAAAATGAGAAGGAAAACATCTTTCTTATTTGGTTAGAGAAGAAAAGAAAAGAAAACTGGAAAGTAAAGAAAAAGAGAAGGCAAAATGTACTAAGAAGAAGGAAAATCAAATTCCTCCCATTTTGGTGGGGAAAATGAGGGAAAATCATATTCTTTTCTTTTCCTACCAAATTCCTTGAACCAAACATAGTGTTAGGGAACTCTAAGCCTCTAAGGGAACCTTTACTATCTTCCGTGAAAAATAATGTTTCCTGTGTGGCTGTGTCGTGTTTTTTTTCTGTGTTTACACAATTCTTGCATTTCTGTTTATGTGCAGCATACATTTACTGATTTACCTTTCCCGCTCTGTTGAAAATGAATTATTAAGTATTTTATGAAAATAAGATTGAAATGCTAGATTTGAACTCTGCAATTTATTCAAAAACAGAGGTTGTCAGGGAGAACTATACAGAAAATAACACTCTGTAAGTTACAAGATGAAAATTTAATAGTTTACCTTTACATGGGGAAAAATAGTTCAATTTTACAAGGGGAAAAATAAAAAACAATTACTTCCTCCCGGAATCAAATTCATGACCCACTCATGATAATTTTGCTATTTTGTCTTTCCCATATTACCCTTCTGTATTTAAATGGGGTAGGTAAATAAAAGGTTAGTATGAAAAAGTAGGGGAGTTATAAAAAATGTTGTGGAGGGTATTTTAGACTTTTGATTTAAATAATGTGCTAAAAATGGGAGTGAATTTGAAGGGTGAAATTAAAGTGAGATTGTGGGTGTATTTGAAGGGAGAAAAAACATATTAAAGCCTTAAGTCATTTCACTGCAAGTCTCTCAATTTGTTTTGCCTTTTTATGCAATGAAATTAATGGTTTAAATTTTTGTGATCTTTGTAGGGGAGTACTGCTGTAGCACCCACAGCTCCTCAGCCTACTACGAAACCCTTCACTCCAACTAACCCTCCTGCTTTGAGAAATGCAGAGCAATATCATCATTCCACTTTGGGTTCCCAGTTGTATCCTGTATGCACTTTTCTATTAGGATGACGAGTGAAGACTCTTTCTTGATTTGAAGTCTTTAATTAAACATAACTAGGGTTTTAAGACCTGCTTTGCTTGTGTTCAGGGACATGGTAACACTGATTTCCCAGCTGTTCCTCGTGAGCCTAGTGTATCCAACCCTAATGCAATGCAAATCAACCAGCCTCTTGGACAAAGGATGCCTCAGGTTGCTGCACCTTCTCAAAATATTCGAGGGATTTCCCCAGTTACAAACCCAGGAGTCCAGAGACCTGTTATGGGTCCCATTAATCCTCCTAGCACTAATGCTCAAGCAGCTCCCCTCCAAAAACCTGTATCTTATGCTCTGCCTCCACCCACAGTGCAGACAGTTGATACTTCTAATGTCCCTGGTATGATTCCACTCCCGATATGGTATTTTCAGTTTTTTTTTAAATTTCTAATACTGCATCTCCCTCACCCAGAAGGATTCTCAAGAGGTGAGACATCTTATTTATATTTTTAGTTTTCTTTTTAAAAAGTCAACCTAATTGGAGTAGTAGTCTAATAAGTCCTTTCCTTGTGTATGTGGGATTGTTGACACTTTTGTGTATGGTGTACCAGCCTCAATCTCTCTAAGTACTAATTCAACATTCAACACCTCATAGAACCCAAGCCGTGCTGGACACAAGAAGTGTTTATCATGATCAAACCAGCTCACAATTGGGTTTGCCAACTGCCGAACAACTTTTGAAATGGCATATTGCTGTTTTAAAGCGTGTCCCCCATCTCTTATTGCGTAAGCCTATCTTTGAAGTACTGAGATAGTAAGATGGGCATAAAACTTTATTAAAATTAAAAATAGAACATTATTGTTCAAAGACAACAAAGTCTACCATAACGTACTAAACGTAGTACTCCCTCCGTCCCCAATTTGATTACAAATTGCCTGTTACGGAGTAAAATTTCCTACTTTTTGAAATCGTTTTATTTACAAATTGGTATATCAATAAGATATAAAAATTACATATTAAAAAACTACGTCAAAAGCTCTACAAAATAAGACGTGACAAGAATATTTTATTTTATTTAACTACTTAATGAAATTGCGTAAACAAACAAAAGTTATCGAGAGGAGGGAAAAAAATGTAATCTATTTAGGGACGGAGGGAGTACAAAATATTGGTTTTAGGCAACAAACTCAAATTTGCAAATCCTGGATCTGACATTTAAGCATTTAAGCAATACCAAAAATTTATGTATATAAAATTTTCAAGTTTTATTGGAAAATTAGCAATAATAAAAACTAAAAGCAATACCAAAAATTTATGTATATAACATTTAAGCATTTAAGCAATACCAAAAATTTATGTATATAAAATTTTCAAGTTTTATTGGAAAATTAGCAATAATAAAAACTAAAAGCAATTTAATGCTTACAATTTTCTTATTAAATTACTAATTTAAACTTGACAATACTTTTTTTTTTTTTTGAAAAAAATGGTGTACCTGTACCTCATAAGTCGTAATGCCTCATTGCGTATGCCTCATGGCGTAGCCTTCTTGCGTCATAACTGAGAAACCCATATGAATGTCTAGACCGCCACAAGACATTTTTCTTTGAAAATAGACACGAGGCAGGCAATATGGTGTATTGTGCAGTGCCATTTCAAACATTGGTGCTAAGTCATCAAGTTGGTCGTCACCCCACAAACCACCACAAGATCAGGTCATAATACTAGTTTGTTGACAACCTATTTGGGGTTCTTAAAAACAGTATTTCACAATGCTTTAAAGAAGTGGTAGACAGATTGTAGATTAAGGCCTTAAGCGTACATCTGGCAGCAACTACCATAGGGAAGGAAATTTTCTCCTCCGAGCCCATCATCAAATAGGAGGGCTGTAGTATGCGTAGCAGGGTTGAACATAACATGGATTGTAGAAGCCTGACGCACGGGCAGGGTTTTTTTAGTTTTGAGAACATATTTTATTCTATGATTTACTTAATGTTTTGAATGTAAAGAATTTGATTCAAATCCAAATTCAAAATGCTTAAGTTTCCCAAACATGAAATTTAATCCAAATCCAGATTTGAAATCCAAATCCATGTTCTCAAACATACCATAATAGATTTGCAGCATGGATGAAATAATGCAAAATGCTTCTCATGAATAACCTCCTAATCATTCTTTGTAGTCTTGCTTAACCTGGTTGTGCATTTTGTGGTTAGCTAAACAAAAACCTGTTGTAACAACATTGACTAAACTCTTCAACGAGATATCCGAGGTGTTAGGAGGGTCACGTGCAAATCCGGCAAAGAGACGCGAAATTGAGGACAATTCAAGGAAGCTAGGGGCATTGTTTGCTAAGCTTAACAGTGGGGATATATCTAATAATGCTGCAGAAAAGCTCGTACAGCTTTGTCAGGCTTTAGACAATGGTGACATCAGCACTGCTCTTCAGATTCAGGTATTGCCTTTTCCATCTCTTTTACGCACTTTTCCCATCATATCAAGATCCCTTTTGGTTGGCTTCATTTTTCAGTTTTTCAGCAGCTTAGTTCATTATTGTGTTTTATTGGGCTGATAATGAAAAGAAAAAGAGGGTATCTAAGGCTTATTGGCTTATTTCACCAGCTCTTTTTAATAAGGATATCCAATGTGTGCACTGGGTGCATATGACAAGGTTACATTTGATATCATTCAATTTATAGGAAAAAAAGCATGGCATTTTGAAAAGTTTCTATTAATATGATTTTTTATAGGAATTAACAAGTGCATATAGTTGCAAACCCATATGAAAAAAATGGTTTCTTTGATGTATTTGAGTGTATATTATTTTTATAAATACTTAAAAAAATTAGAAGATTGAGCTATTTCAACCAGTATTTGAGCAACCCCATGTTGCACAATCAACCTCTTTAAGTCTTACCAATCAGACCCTAACCTTCGTAAAATGTTATTTGCTTAGGTGCTCCTCACAACTACCGAATGGGATGAGTGTCACTTTTGGCTAGCGACACTCAAACGAATGCTCAAGACGAGACAAAGCTTGTGATGAAACTTGGAATTCCAATGTTAAAGGATTCAAGTTGAAGTTTGGTGGAGTACAGGTTTCACTTCTGTTCGTCTCCATTTAAAAAAAAATATTTCATGCCATAATTTGTGATTCCCGCCATTCGATTTTAAAAGAGAATATAGTTTTCACTGACTTTGATGATTGTTCTTTTCTTTTAACTTTGTAATGTTGAAAAAAATACACCCATTGCTTCACTTCAAATAGATATATGGGTCAGAGGTAGTAATTCCTTATAGAAACTCATTTTATCATAAGCTTCTGAGTGAAGAAATCCTGAGCTTGGAATGTTCAAACTCAGTTTGAACTACAGTATTATATTATACTCCACATATACATTTCTGGTAGTAGTAGGCACCGTGGGTATTTATATTTTACAAGTTGGATATACTTTTTTAACCTTCATATCTGAAGCCATTACCCTGTTGAAGTGTAAACCATTGATTCGGCTACTGCAATAAAATAAGATTGTATTGATATAACATCATGAGTAAATCTTTTAAAAATCATTAAATTTTAGAAATCTTTTAAAGATTTACTCTAATTCTAAAATTAGATTTACTAATTCTAAAATTTCATTTAGAAATTTGGTATTTAATTTAGAAATCTTTAAAAGATTTACTCATATATACATCAAATCTAAAACTTCCTATACACATAATGTTCTTTCTCGTCATACACAATTTTAGAGGTCGCTTTTGATGCATTGTTTGTGAATTACAATTGTTTTTTACTACAATTATTGTTTGAAGATGTGGTTTTTCGTTGGGATTTGAATCCACAATCATAATCATTATTTTTATGTTGTCCATCTAACTGACATCAAAATAGACATAAGATTGCTGTTAAATTACTATCTCTGTTCTAATTTAAATTGGCTGTTTTGATTTTTGGACATATTTAAGGAAAATAAAAAATATAGTTGATTTTTTAAAATTGCCGTTACTTTTTAGAAGGGCTGATGAGGAATGAGAAAATAATGTGAAGAAGAGTACTTATTTTAGAAGTGGTTTAGGTATTTTATTTTTAAAAGTTTACGAAAACAACAAATAGGCAACTTATTTTGGGACGGAAAAAAAGGCGAACAGACAATTTAAAATGGGACAGAGGGAGTACATTTTAATCACTCAAATGAATACTAACATAACAGTCAAAATATTGCCGCCCAAAAGTTTTTTCAATTAGACTTACTAGATTTTCACCCGTGCGTTGCACGGTAAAAAAATTGTTTCCTTAAAAAATAAGAAGGTATTAATACTGTATTAATAATGATTATTTGTAAAAAAGAAGATAATAAGTGTACTTTTCAGGAACTAAAACGTTAATACTATCTAACCTCGATGTTCACCTACTACTTTTTTGTAATTGATTGAAAGTGTTGTATATTTAAATATATAATCCTCAAAAATTATGGTTGGAATCTGGTCCAATTTATAAACCTACTACCAAATACATGAATTTACTCGTATAATCTAAACCAATAAAAAAATGTATATTACTTTCAACATAGCAAAAAATCATCTTCAAAACTTGATACAAAAATTAAAGTGACAATATAGCATTGTATTGTATCCCAAAAAAATAAACCCAATATAAATCTAGGAATTGTCAAGAGCATCATGAGAGATGTAGGCAAAGTAAAGCATCTTTTACATCAAATTTAAACTCAAAAGTATCGTTGACAATAACTTTAGATAAATGCATATAGTATGTTGTTCAACGATCACTTGTTCTAAGATTTTCCTAGGATTGCCAGTATGCTCAAACTCTATATGAGTGTTTCTACCTTGAAAAACTCTTCAGTAGGTAACAACAATAGTACTTGTATGAAATTGTTGGAAATCTAAACAAAGAAGCAACTGAAGATCACAATTGTAGTTCAAATGGAACTTTTTTATTTCTCCAAGCAAACCTGCAAAATATATCTCATGTAAGTCTAAAACATTCCACTCATATTTATCAATGTGAAGATGATTTGATGTTTAAGAGCAAACCTTCAAAATAACTCAATTATCAAAACCAAACAACAAAAAGATAATCTGAAAAACCTTAAATATATCATGATGAAGAAAAATCATATCGCTATTGTTCTATGATCACAGTGAAGATACTTAGCTCAAAAAGAGAACTCGCAAATCAAAAGTCCAACATCAATGTATCATTTGCAAACAAAATATCTTTAATGAATACTTGCTGAGCTTGTACAGTTCTCAATTTTGCAGATTTTGGCGTAGGTCCAACAAAATGATCATGACTTAAATTTAGAGCACAATGCAGTGAAAAGTATTGTCATCAAGACCGAACTTCCTGAGAGAAGATTTAGAGCACAATGCGCAACTTGGGATGGATAAAAAAAGAAATCATATTTTAACTTGTATAGCTGGTATTACTTCTAGTGATCTACATTTCTCATTGAAAAACAAAATACGAAGAAACACATTCGAGGGTGAATGGTGAATCATGAATCGAACAACGGGGAAATAATATACCGGAGTAATCCTTAACACAATCGAAACCAAAATTCTATTATAAAACACAACATGAATCAAGAACAGATCAATGAAGAGAAAATGAAATCTTTAACATAATTGTAACCTAAAAGAGTCAGTATTTATAAATCTAAGAAACTATAAATTGAATATTTAACACAATTGAAATCAAAGTGTAAGAATCATTACCTTGCTGCCACTTTGAAAAGAAGACCCGTAGCCTTGATCGCCACCATCAACATTGAAAGAAGCAAAAGAAGATCTACGGGTGGTGTTGCTGGCTTAGATCGGTCAGCCGTAGTCTTCGACTATGCAAGCCATCGTCTTTGCCTGTGAAACATATCATCACAGCCCCCAGGCTCTCCATGTTCAAAAACAATAGCCCGATCAAAGCCTAGCGCAATAAAAATATACTATTTAGTGGATTAAAACCTTAGGGTTTATTGGTGATTTTAGTGTCATCGGTTTTTTTTGTGTAATTGGATTTACTTCGATCGGACAAGAATTTAAATAGACGTTGTCAAACGAGTTAGGAGGCGCGGAGTGCGGGCTCGTTCAACGATATTAAAAATTCATTGCGGGGGTCCGGGGGCGGCACCGTCCGGGATAGCGGGGGTCCGGGGGCGGCAGGCCCTGGTTAGCGGGGTCCAAGGGGCTGCATCCCCTGGCGGGGTCCAAGGGGCAGAGCCCTTGGCCGGAAATTTTTTTATTTCGGACGTTATTTCTTTATGAAAATCTTTAAGATTTTCGTGATCGGAGTCCAAATCATTAAAGGACTCGAACTAGCGGATAAACGTCAAAATACCCCAAAACCGCAGGAAGCTCCTCGTTTAAACTCGCGCCTATCTTCTTCTCCGCGCGAACGTACGCGTATGTTTACGCGAAGGTTCATGTCCGATCATGGAAATTTTAGACTCTATAAATTAGAGTCTCGTGGTATGGATTGATAGATGATTTTCGAGTGCTTGTTCTGATTTAACGTCTTATCCGATTGAAGTATTTCGTATACCCCGAAAAAACATTGATCTGAAAGCGTTTCGTACGCGATTCGTTATTCTATCGAGTTCTTCATCTAAACACTGCTTCGCAGTGTTCTTCCTTTTCTAATTCCAACAGGGTTAACATTCCGATACTTAATTAATACGTACTGTAATAAATATGGGCAACTTGCTGGTTCTGAGTGGATTAGCACCAATGGCTTTAGAGTGCTTAATTAATGCCCTGAGATCAATAACAAAAGAGGTGTCAACAATGGATACTAAATCTTCACCAAGATTTTCTTTTTTCAATTAGAAAAGTAAATACTGATATGAAGTCAAAGAAATCATTTTAAACAACAAAGTGAAAAATACAACCACAATCAAGTTTGACCGGCAATGTATGATAAAGTGATGGCCTGAGGGCTGGTCCAATGATTATGAAGGCCCAGTGCTAAATCTAGAATTGGACCCTTAAAAGATGACGACATTATCTAGACAGGCAAACTAATTACTTCTCCCTCCGTCCCAATTTAAATCGTCTGTTTTGACTTTTGGGCATATTTAAGGAAAATAAAAAATAAAGTTGATTTTCCGAAATTAACATTACTTTTTAGGAAGAGTGATGATGAATGAGAAGATAAGGTGAAGAAGTGTGACTTATTTTAGGGGTAGTTTAGATATTTTATTTTTAAAAGTTTACAAAAATAACTAACAGACAACTTATTTTGGGACGGAGAAAAAAGGCAAACAGACAATTTAAAATGGGACGAGGGAGTAGTATATAGAGAAAATAAGACATTAGATGATTCATTGTAGCAATATTTCTTATAATATTTAAAAATGGGTGGATAAGTGAAAGTGGTAGTGCCAATATATTAATGATGTTGGTACCTTTAAAAGTGTTAGAGGGTGGAAGAATAGGATTACAGGGAAACAAAAAAAAACCATTGCTAAGTTAGGAAAATAGAAAGAAAAGATCTTTTATTAAGCTTCTTGCCTTTGAAGGCATGATATTGAAGCTAAATCATAAACACATTTTTTAGTCTTCTATGACTTAGGCCGTGTTTGGAAAACAGCATTTGGGATAGTTTTTGACATCTTTGACTAACTTTGGCTTTTTTGACTAAGTGAACTGCCAAAACCATTGTTTGGCTAATGGCTTTTTCACTTGGCATTTTGATCCAAAAAGCCAAAATCTGAAATGCCAAGGTGAGTAGCATTTGGACTTGGCAGTTAGGAAAAATAATTTTTTTAAAATCATTTTTGTTGAAAGATATTTTATAATATATGTAAAAAATAAAAATAAAAGTTAAAAAAATTAAATACGAAAAAATAAAATGAAATTTAAAAAAATTATATTTATAATTCATTAAAAACTTTATATTTATAATTTATTATGAATTAAATGAAATTAAAATTTAAAATTCCATATAGTAAAGATTTAATTTTTACATGTAAAAAAATGAAAAATAAATATCGTGTGTGATCCATCTAGATGATTTTTATGATTTATATACGGGGCATTTTGGAATTTTACTTCTTAGTCGTACCTTTCCTATTACGTCTCCTTAAAATTTACGCAGTGGCTTCCGTTTCTTCATCTGCAAAGCAATTCTCTTTTTTTCTTCATCAAAGGCCAAACTTTGCAGCAGTAATTGAGGTTTGTTCTCCTAATTTCTTTTCAATTTCTTGATCAATTCATCATCAACCCATGTTTCTTTTTAATTTTAAGGCTTTTCTTGAGGTGGTGCAAAATTTCTCCGAGGTTTGAGATTGGAAAAACTCTCCCAAAGATATGAGATTTTATGTGATTTTTTTGTTGGTTTCCTTTTATGTAATTTTATTTACAAACAGCTAACTATAAACAGCTAAAGTTGCCAAACACTTAAAGTTTAACTGCTAACAGAAATAGCCGGTCAAAACAGCTAACTCAATCAGCCATTCAAATCAGCTTACATAAATAGCCAACTGCCAACTGCAAGTATCCAAACAAGGCCTTATTGTGATTAAGAGCACCTAAAAGCCCGTCACTTATATCAATTTCTTTCACTATATATGAATACGTTTTTAGCTTTTCCAAAGAAAAACTCCCTATTCTTTCATGTCGTGCTTCTAACATTTTCAGTTCATATCTATAATTTGAGCAAACCAAAAAATAATATTCAAAGCAAGACTCAAACTACATATGTATAAAAACCTATTCTTTCATGTTGTAATTATAACTTTTTTGATTCATATAAGCTTTTTAATTTGTTCGCAGCTTATATGAGCAAACCATAAACAAATTTAATAGAGCAGACTTTAGAATGAAAAAAAGTAAGCTAAAAAAGTGGATATTAACAATGAATAGAAGATTATATACTCACTGGTCATGATATTTTCGAACATGCTTTATTTTGAATAATCAAATTGATATTGGATAGTTCTTTTTCTAGTCTTCTCTCTCAATGCAATCCATCCATCACGGGCAGCAATTTGGAAGAATCTACGATGACTAAGGCATTGATATTTGTAGGTATTTTTTGAAAGAATCAAGTAGAGGTTGGCTAATAGAGTAGAATGAAATAAATATATAAAAAAAGAACTCTGTAATACCCAAGTCCTTGTTGGGAAATTAAACACACAACACACACAAATAATCTACGAGAAATGAGAAAAACGGAACACAAACGACACACAAGAATTTAACGTGGTTCGGTTTCCCTAATCCACGGCTGCAACAGGAGGATTTTCTTATTTCACTTGTGGTGTCTCGATTACAAATACAAGCCCTCTATATATAGGGGAAAACTAGGGCTACGCACAACTGGGCCGGGCCGACAAACAAGCCTCCACAAAGCCCAACATTCTCCCACTTGGAGGCTTGATAATCATCAACTGCCATCCGCCACGATCGCCTGTATATCGAGTAATCTTCCTCAGCTCTCCTGTTGCAGCGGCCCTATCATCAGACAACTGAAAGGCCCGTTGAAGCTCTCCCAAGCTCCAACACATCAGTCACGACAAAATCTGCCCCTGACTCGTCCTCGGTCCCTACCGGCTCCCACTACAAACGCACACTGCCGGAACCTGGAACATCCTGAGAACAAACACTCTCCATACTCAGCAAGAAATTTTCTGGAGATGTTCCAACAGCTGGAATACTGGTTCTCGTGACCCACTGTCTTCTAGGCACTTCTGTTACCGAGCATATCAATAAGCTGAATTCGATCTTAACCAGACTTGCGTCAGTTGGCATTAAGTTCGATGATGAAGTTCAAGCTTTACTACTGCTATCGTCTTTACCTGATAGTTGGTCCGGAACGGTTACTGCAGTTACCGGTTCAGTGGGACCCGATGGATTCACCTTTGATCAGATTCGAGATCTCGTTCTTGGTGAGGATGTCAGAAGAAAGAGTTCTCGGGAGTCATCTGGTGAATTGCTTCTTGTTGGTAGAGGCAGAAGAAATAGCAGAGGTAGTGGGAGCAGGAATAGACAAAGGAGTCAGTCGAAGACTCGTGACAGCTCAGGTGTAACGTGCTGGAAGTGCAAGGAGGTGGGGCATTTTAGGAATCAATGTCCGAATGATAAGAAAGTAAACATTGCTCAAGGCTCTGCGAGTGACGAGGAGGTCGCTCTAACTTGCTGTGAGGAAAGCAATGTGGATTCCTGGGTTATGGATTCTGGTGCTTCATTTCATGCTACCCACAGCGGTGAAGCATTTCAGAATCTGGTTATTGGGGACTTTGGTAAGGTACGACTAGCGGACGACAGAGCTCTTGAGGTGATGGGCATGGGTGACATGGTGTTGAAGACCTCAGTCGGTCTCTAGACTTTGAAGGATGTTAGAGTGGTCCAGGCTTGAAGAAAAGTTTGATTTCTATCAGGCAGTTGGACGAACAGGGACACGAGGTGAAGTTCAGAGATGGGCAGTGGAAGGTCGTGAAGGGAAATCTTGTCATGGCCCGTGGAAAGAAGAGAGGTTCGCTGTATATGGTCGAGTTACCATCTGAGGGAGTGACCGTCCCAGTTCAGAAGAGAGACAAAGTCCGGTTCACAGAGTCTCGTGGGCAGAAGAAGGTTGTCTATGCAAGAGAGAAACCTAGAGCCACAGGTCAGACTCAGGATGAACGAGCATGGAAAGGTTCAAGGGGGCCAGTCAGAGGTATTTGTGGCAGTGGGAGCTCAAGAGGCGCTTCCGCCAAGTTGCCTAGAAGACAATGGGTCACGAGAACCAGTATTCCAGCTGTTGGAACATCTCCAGAAAATTTCTTGCTGAGTATGGAGAGTGTTTGTTCTCAAGATGTTCCAGGTTCCGGCAGTGTGCGTTTGTAGTGGGAGCCGGTAGGGACCGAGGACGAGTCAGGGGCAGATTTTGTCGTGATTGATGTGTTGGAGCTTGCGAGAGCTTCAACGGGCCTTTCAGTTGTCTGATGATAGGGCCGCTGCAACAGGAGAGCTGAGGAAGATTAGTAATCGAGAGACCACAAGTGAAATAAGAAAATCCTCCTGTTGCAGCCGTGGATTAGGGAAACCGAACCACGTTAAATTCTTGTGTGTCGTTTGTGTTCCGTTTCTCTCGTTTCTCGCAGATTATTTGTGTGTGTGGTGTGTTTAATTTCCCAACAGTCCTTTGTTCTCAGACCAGTGCTTTTGCCAAAATCGAACCTAGCCAGCCACCAGAGTTGTTGTCTGCATATTGATTCGCTGTCATCTCCGGGTTCATCAAGATCTCCATCTACGTGAGCGTAAGGTTTGAAGCCCTAGGCCGGTGACTGCCCTGTGATTCTCCAAGATCTCGCCCCCAATTCAACTTGAGAAGGGAATAGATTCGGTCTCTTTTGAAGAAGCCTTTGTAGGACCTCAGGCGCTACCAACTCTTCTAAAACCAATTGGTGTTAGAAGAGGCGCATACCCTAGCCTTATAGTGCATTTAACACACAAGCGCCCACGACATTCGACTATGACTTGGCCCACATAGCTTCCGCCATGGGACAATTGCTACACACATGGCCAACAGCCTTCAATCATTGTCCATTATTTATAGGTCTGGTCCAACAATGAGCGAAATCTGATCCCTAAAGTAACAATGGCTTGTCACTGGTGCTTCGATGTCCTAGGCGTCTCTTGAGTGAGATCCCTGGCAGGAGTTGCGTCTAATTGGAGAGAGAATATGGAAGATGGAAACAAAAGGTTGATTGGAGAGGCGTGGGTAACTGCTGAATTTAGAGATGGAAATAGATGGATTTGGTGCCATCTAGAGATCGTGAGTGATTTTGTGGGAAGATCGCGGTTACCTTAGGATTTGAGCGGGACTTTTTTGCTGTTGTAAATAGAAGGAGTAAAGATGATTTATGAAGGAAATCTCACGGAGCAGTCAAAAAATGATAAACTCACCATTGAAAACCACCCATTGAAACTCTCACTACCCTTCATATTGCAAATATCTAGCAACACTTTTCTTCCAAGCCTAGCTAATTCAAGAATATTGCTCCATATGTTCCTGGTATTAGCTAGAAAGTGTATCCAAACTTTTACTTTAATTGAAAATCAATTACGTAAAAAAAACCAAGGACCATGTGAGATTCTTAGAATTCTAACAATTCTAATGGGACACCTCCACCATCATGGTTACCTCCACCATCATGCTTGCTCTTACTTTTCTCCATGTTCCTCTTTGCAGTGAATATAGTTAAAGTAATTAAAATCAATATTAGTATGTAAAAATGGGAAAGTAGAACTTTCCAAACACTGATTTTTAAATAAAAAGATGAAATGCTTTTACACACCATATCATATTAAAAGGACATCGATGTGCATCTTGTAGGTTAAAACACTGCTACAACCACAAAATTGCTAAACTGCCCATTCATCTACCATAGTATTATTGATGGCAAAATACCATGTAAAAGGTTAATTTCATTGCTTGAATATGTGGGAGTACATGTCTATATATATACAAGGATTCCTAATCCTATACAAGGTAGGAGACAATAATAGGAAACAATATATTCCTAATCCTATACAAGGTAGGAGACAATAATAGGAAACAATATATTTACATTAAATATAGAATATATTTAACAGATATCTATTTGTACAAAAAGAGTACCTGCCACGATTGACAACATCCCATATTCAACTCACAAAGATAATAAAAAAACTACAGTCTCATATATAGATCAGAGCATATAATTCAAAAGGTTAATACTTGAGTATAGAAACCAATGAAGAAGTAACATTCAAAGCTAGAGGAGAGGCTGAATCAGCATGATAATATAGCACATTTCCTAATGGATCGACACTGATTATATCAAGATCAAAGCCTGCATTCTTGAAATTTTGCAGTAAACCCAAAAATGAAAAAAATATGTATGGGAATATTGTTAAATATGGCAGATATATTTCTTATTCTATTTAGAATATTTTGTTTCCTTATTGACCTAGACTATACCTCCTCCCGTGTATGTATAAATACCCCCGTATATGATGAATGAATTACTGAATTCACAACACGTTATCAGCACGAAAGCTAAACCCTAATTTTATCTTTCCTCCTCAGCAGTCTCAGGCCACATCGCCGCCTCCTTCGTCTTCCTTCCTCTTGCCGAACGAGGAAATCAAATAAGTCAGGGAGATTACATCACCATCATCACAGATTCACAGACGCAGGGACGAAAAGGAACAAAGCACAGTCCCTGGATCATAGATCTTCTTCTTTAATTCCTGACCTCTATAGTCCAGGTATCACAAATTTATCGGTTTTAAACTCAATATGGTATGACCTATATAAATTTTTGGTTGGTACGATCGGCTGTGTTTTAGATCCCATTCATGCCTCTGCGTCATGCCGGTTCCATGTTTGATTTTTTTTAGTTTTGTTCACATGCGTATCTTTTTTTTCTTTCTCTAAAATTGAAGGCCACATAAACTCCAAATTGCATAAGTTTTCTTAGATCACAAACTGTCTTGTATATGATTTTTTAAGAACATCTACATTAGTTTTTTTTTAATGATCATTGAAAAATATGACAGACCTCAAGATTTAAAGATACCCTAAAAAGATTAAACAATTCAGGAACCATTATTTTTATTATTTAATGAGGAAACCAAATGAAAGATCAGAAAGATACATAGTCAAGTACTATTTTCAACTGTCTTGAATCAGAATCCACATTAAAGACGTCATTTTAATCAGAGGCTTATGATTTTATCATATTATTACATGCCGGAACTCTGGAAGAGAACTAAATTCGATTCCAAATTACCATAATGTATGTGCTTCTTGAAGGTGTATGAAAAATATGTAAAATTAGGTCAAATGGTTCAATTGCGTGTATATATTGTAAAAAGTAAAACAGTTTAGGGAGCACTATTTTTTCGAAGAAAAAAAAACTTTGATTTGCATTTAGAAATACAAATGCTATGCCTTCAAAACCTAGACTCATGCTTTTCTCAATGCTGCATTCAACAACAACAACAACAAAGAAAAAGAAGAACATCATAGCTTAAAACTAATATGCCGTAATCATAAATGTTGACCATATTTTTTTGTTGACTGGCTAGAGTATGTTTTTTTTTAATTATTGTGTACTTTGACTTGAGATTGTTGGACGTTTAAAAAGCTGTGATTGTACACAAGAATTGACATATGTGCTCATGTAAAAAAAAATGCATATTTATTATTTGATCACAAATGTGATAAATGTTTTGCTGTTTTATATGTTCATGACCTATAAAAGAGGACTTTCAAATGAAGTATCAAATTTTATCATGTTTTATCACATGAGGAGTTAAGTGTATATGTAAATTAAGATACCATAAGCACAAATGGCATTTAAATTCTTTGGATATGCATCATTGTAAAATGGTAGCTTCATTCATATTTTGTGTTAAAAAAAATGCATTCAAATATGCAACTATGGATTATCTTCGTTATTGATGCTGAGGGAACGAAAATGTGCATTTTAATACTCTATATTTGCCAAGTTTACACAACTCATGCTATGTGATTCCCTAGCTAATTTTTGATAAAGGCAAAATTTTGGATCATTCACTTTATAAATTTTTTTGGCACTATAGCTATATTTTACAGAAGTGTTAAGTTTTTTCCCTAAAGTGAATCAAATTGGATATTTATTCTAAATGTCCATATTCTCTAGAAGAGAATAAAGAAATAAAACTTTTCTTATGTATCTACCATTTTCCAGAAGTAAAATGGCATAATGATTTTTTTTAAAAAAATACATTGTTCAATGCATTCTCTCCTTATGCAATGATATTATATTTTAATGTGAATTACTATGTTGCAATAAAATTTGAGTGACCAATATATATAATTGCATGTTATATGTGGTTTGAGATTACAAAATAGTGTTTGAGAACCTAATTTCCTCTAAAGTGGTAGTGTAAAAAAAAAGAGGCATATACTCAATATTTGGTTACATTGTTTTCCATTGATAGGAAAGATTTTTTTTTTTGAAAAAAAAAATCATGTTACATATTCATTCCCTGAAGCGAGTGAAAAATTGATTGAATTGACTTGCATGAATATAACAGGCAATCACAATTATTGTGGTTATACATGTGGACACATCAAGCTCACCATTATAGTCACATAGAATTACAATTGTTTTAAACATTGACTATTTCAATCTCAATATATTTCTGAAGAATGTTGAATTCTTAAAAAGAAATCCTTAAGATGTACGTACAATATCCTAAATTAAATAAAAGTCATCATGTTCATCAAACATAATATATGGGTATATGAGATACTACCCAAGGTCTTATAATATTTAATTACCACCTGAAGTGGCTTATTTTTAGTAAAAAAAACAAATATCATTATAAAGACACATTTTGATATTTCAAGACCTTTATTCCAATCTATATATGATTCCTTAGCAATAATCCTGAAGAATGATGTAGTTAATATATTATAATCAAAAGGTGTGATTATACATATTATATTTTTTTTAGATGTAAGAGATTTTTTTCTTGTGATAAAAGAACTTAGTGTAGATATAATCTTCTTATTATACAAAACTGACAGATAGCTCCATAAGAGCATTGCAGAATAAGAGTTGCATAATAGAAATAATAAAAATCTCATAAATATTGAATATTTTGAGATGATAGTTATTGTCCTGCATTGACGAATATTCTTTTGGGTATAGACAAATTCTTATTGTTTAAGGTGTCTCTGTTAATGTTTAAGATACCAGTAGAAATGAATATTACATGACACTTGATCGAGATTTGTTTTCACGTAAACCAGAAGTTTACGGAACCAATTTTATTTTAAATGTAACTAATTAAATTATCACAATTTAGTTTGTGATGTGAAAAAAAAATCATTAAAAAATTAAGTGAGTACTATCTGAAGGATTAGAAGTTTCTGTTATTATTAGGACCAGAAGATCCTATAGCCTTGTTCTCATTAGAAGATTATTATGAGATTATTACTAATGAAACTTGAGATTCATTTCATACATAATAAGGAATTGTTCAAGTAGAATTGATTGGGTCCATCACCTATCCGTGATGGCTATTTAAATGTTTTATATGATGCATCGTTATATTTGTCATATTTGTTGACAATTAACTCGTAACCTGAAGTTTATGATATTTGTCCATATATTATATTATGGATACAATTTATAGGTTATGTTGAACATCATTAGCTACAAAAGAGCCTGCAGCTCTAATTAATATGCAAAGTGCATCGAATTGGTGGCTATACTTTTGATTGTGAGAACAAATCATTTTATACTGGTTTTTGAATCTTCATTTAATTTATGTGGTGATTATTTGGAGCGGATGCTTAATAGGCTTAAATTAAGACAAATTATCAAGATACCACAATGGTAGGTAGACACTGAGGGAAGGTTTTTGAACGAGTTGAATGGAAGATAAATTCCATGAAATATGCTAGATTATATATATTCTTCAATTAAAAAAAGATGTGAACCTAAAGTTCAAGAAAGAAGTTTATAAGATATTGCAAATAAACTTTAATATTTAAATTTTATTTGTCAATTGTAAATGCTCTGTTAAGAGTTGAATTCTTGACATTTTCTCAATCATTAAAAATAATGATATTAGTGTATAGAACCCGTAGTTCCAACAAATGAGAACCTGAAGTTCTCCTTCACATGTATTTTATATACACATGTTCATTTTTATTAATCCTTCCCTATAAATAAAATGTCAAATCTTCAAAATTTTGAGTTTCTTACTCTTTATATCTCCCGAAGAGAACCAAATTTGTCCCTTTTGACAATATTTGATTGTGTNCATCCAAGATAATAAGAGAAGATTGGGTAATTGACATTAGTTTTAACTCCTCGTCAATCGTTAAATGTTAAGAGTTTTTTGACAAGATATATATATATATATACACACACACACACACACACACACATCACAGTATGTTGATTGTCAATTTTATGATAAAGAGATAAAGTATTCCCAGTCTTAGGGGGAGAGGTGAATAAAGAAAGACTGGTAATATAAGAAATTACATGAAATGCATCATCATCGTAAATTTTTGACTCCTGAAGTGGTCAGTGCGATTTTGAAGTCCGATTTACAATGTAGAGCAAATGAATTATGAGATGCATTCACACATATGAGTAGAGTGACAAAGTTACATATACCAGCATCTTATGCACCGCTTAATCTATGAAAGTCCCAGAAGTGACTATTATACAAAGAAATTGTGGGAGAATAATCAGCTTCAAAGACATGAACCTACGAAAATGAAGATAGCAAAAATGCTATTAGTGAAACCACATACATGATTATGAGTGATTCCCCAGAAGAGGTAACTGTCCCAGAAGAAGACTAATACTATTCAATAAGAAAATGAAACTCCAGAAGAGGTAAATGTCTTGGAAGAGACTACTATGATTCCAGAAGAATAAGTTTCCTAAAGAAACATCGGTACCGAATGAAAATGAGATCTCTATTAATTATGTACGAGACTGTACAATATGGAACAAAAAAAAACAGGTGTTAATGATACTCTTGCATATGCTATGACAATGGATGTAATCAATAAAAGAGATTACATGCCTAAAACTCAAATAAGAGTACATGTAAATAGTACATAAATGATTTCCCAAATGGCAAAAGATCCTGAAGGTCGAATATAAGTCACTCGATAAATGAAATATTTTCGGACCTGAAGTCTGAACACCCATAGACGTCAAACCAATAGGTTATAAATGGGTGTCTGTAATAAACAGAAATAAAATGAATGAGATTGTGCGATATGTAGTACTACTTGTAAGGCAAGGGTTTTTCCCAAATCCTAGGAGTTGATTATAAGGAAATGTATTCTCCAGTAGTGGATGCAATATCCTTTTAGAATTTTAATTGGCCTCACAATCTCAAAAGGACTTCAAATAAATGATATGGATGTCGTTAACATAATTATAAGGGACACTTGAAATGGACATCTGTGTGATAATAATCCCTGAAGGATTCAAAATGCCAGAAGCAATAAAATTAATACATCGAGATATGTGTGAAGAGATCATGGAATGGTCTCAAGTAATCTGGTCATATGTGGTACAATTGACCTAGTGAATATCTCGAAAAAGAAAGATAACAAATTTGAAATCAACCTATGGGTTGTCATTCAAGGATTGCTCTCAATATTCTTTATTATAGCAGTTTACGTCGACGTATAAATATCATTAGATCTCCTGAAGAGATAGAAAAACTGTTAAACTCTTGAAGAGAGAATTTGGGAAGGAAGATCCTAAAATGACATAAATTATACTTCAGATTGTATTTTAAACACCTATATGATAGCCCATTTGTCCATAAGTTAAACCATGTCCAACCAAACACTTAACCCAATTCACCACAATTGATTAACCAAGCACACAAAATCAGCAGCACATCAAATAAACCACAACCAAATATGAAGAATAAAGATGCAAACGACACACGATTTTTATACGTGGAAAACCCCTTCGATGTGAAGGATAAAAACCACGGGACTTATAGGGAGTCCGCCCTCTTCTTCTCTTATTATGCAAATTGAGGGTAAAAACACCCAGAACTCAGTCTACAAGGATGTCACAGCCCACCAACAACAACATACATAAGAGGCATCAACAATAGAGAAGGAAAATCAGGATTATCACCCAAAAAACGCAGTGTCGCACCAGCTGCGATTACAGAAGATCCGTAGCTCCGATTGATGTGAAAATTGAACAGACTGAAGCCCTAAGTGTTGGGAACAACCTCTGAAAATTTCAGCTCAATCCAACGGTCGGATCTCCGGCGATGATCAGATTTGTGCGGCTGGTCTGAAAATTCTGCACCAGCCCTTCTCGCTCTCTCTATTCTGTTTTTTTTTCTCTCTGCTCTGTCCGTAAGTCCAGCACTGCCCAGCCCTTTTACTTCCTTCCTTTTGTTAGTCAACCAAGGAAAAACATAATTGGGCCCTCCACCAAAGAAAAATGGAACCCAAACAAAATGGGCTGGACCCACAACAATCTCCCCCTCCAGCCCGATTCGGGGAAGATCATACACAAACCACGTCAAGAAGACATACCTGCAAGCTTGGAACAAAACTCAAGCTTGCTTCCGGGAACCACCTTTGTCAACATATCAGCACTGTTCTTGTTTGTGTGAATCTTCTTCACCTTCATTAGTTGCTTTTCAATGATATCACGCAACCAATGATACCTCACATCAATATGCTTTGTGCGAGCATGATACATGGTGTTTTTGCTCAAGTCTATAGCACTTTGACTATCGCAAAACACAACATACTCACTTTGCTTCAATCCCAACTCTTGAAGGAAACGCTTCAACCAAATCATCTCTTTGCCTGCTTCCACTGCTGCTATATATTCTGCCTCAGTTGTTGACAAAGCTACACACTTCTGTAGCTTGGATTGCCATGAAATGGCTCCCCCTGCAAATGTAAACAAATAACCTGAGGTAGACTTTCTATTATCAAGATCTCCAGCTATGTCAGCATCTGTAAATCCCTCAAGAATAGGCTCACCGCCTCCAAAACACAAACTCAGTTTTGAGGTGCCTCGCAAATATCTCAAGATCCACTTTACAGCTTCCCAATGAACCTTGCCTGGATTAGCCAAGATTCTGCTAACCAATCCAACAGCATGTGCTATATAGCATGTGCTATATCTGGCCTTGTACACACCATAGCATACATCAATGAACCAACAGCAGAAGAATAAGGAATATGAGACATGCTTTCCTTCGCTTTCTCAGAACTAGGACAAGAACGCTTGCTCAACTTGAAATGACCGGCAAGTGGTGTATTAACCGGCTTAGCATTCTTCATATTAAACCTTTCAAGCACCCGTTCAATATACTTCTCTTGTGACAGCCAAAGCTTACCAACTTTTCTATCACGAACAATTTCCATGCCAAGGATTTGCTTTGCAGGACCCAAATCTTTCATTTCAAAGGACTTTGACATATCCTCTTTTAACCAGCGAATCATCTCAACATCTTGTCCCACTATCAACATATCATCAACATACAAACAAAGGATAATGAAGTTATCATCAGAGAACTTTCTAAAATACACACAAGGATCTGCAGTAGTACGCCTGTACCCATTACCACTCATGAAGGAATCAAACTTGCGGTACCATTGCCTTGGTGCTTGGTTGAGCCCGTAAAGACTCTTTTTCAGCTTGCAAACAAAATTCTCTTTTCCTTTAACTTCAAATCCTTCAGGCTGCTCCATGTAAATTTCATCATCCAAATCACCATGTAAAAATGCAGTTTTTACATCAAGCTGCTCAAGCTCAAGATCCAAACACGCCGCTAGTCCCAAAATCATGCGAATGGAAGTCATCTTCACCACTGGTGCAAAAATTTCATCGTAATCGATGCCTTTTTTCTGATGGCATCCCTTCACCACCAGTCTTGCCTTTCGTCTCACTAGCTTTTGGCCATCTTTCTTGTTCTTGAACAACCACCTGCTCTTCAAGACTTTCTTCCCTTTTGGACGCTCCACCAAGTCATATGTTTGATTCTTCTTTAAAGAATCCATCTCCTCTTGCATAGCCTTCAGCCAATGGTCTTTGTCTGGATGTGACAAGACCTCTTTAAGGCTTTCAGGCTCCCCCTCATCAGTGATTAGGATATATTCTGAACTTGGATAAAGTCTTGAAGGTTGTCGAACTCGGGTTGACCTTCTCAATGTTGGCTCTTCCACCTGTGGGCTGTTTTGCTCCCCTTGATTAGAAGATTCTCCACTTTCTATTTCAACAGCTTCATCATCAGGTTGTGGCACAATCTATGGTTGTACCTCTTCAATACGATCATGTTCATGAGTATTTTCATGACCATCATCGGGAGCATCATCTGTTTGCTGAACATCTCCATTATCAGTTCGGAGACGCTTCAATTTGCAATCTGTCTCCCTTTCCACCATGGCATGAAACTTCTGAAAGATACCACACACATCACTTTTGTGCTTCATCATATAAACCCAAGTTCTCCGAGTAGCATCATCAATAAAAGTAACAAAGTATTTGTTACCACCAAGTGAATCCACCTCAATAGGACCCCCACACACATTAGAGTAAACCAACTCTAGCTTCAGTTTCTTTCTCCTGGATCTCATTGGAAAAGAAACTCTATGCTGCTTTCCTGCTAAACAATGATCACAAGGTCAAGTGAAATGGTAACATCAGCAAGAATAAGAGACTTACCAGCCAACAACTTTATACCCTTCTCACTAACATGGCCCAATCTACGATGCCATAAGTTAGGAGAAGTTTTCTCCTCAACAGCATTCAACTCACTAGTACACACTTTCAAGTGTGTCTTATACAAGGTGCAACAAAGCTTGCCACGAGCAACAGTCAAAGAACCCTTAGACAATTTCCATTTACCCTCACCAAAAGTATGCTTGTAACCTTCTTGATCAAGTACATTAGCACACAATAAATTGAGGCGTAAATCTGGAATGTGGCGAACATCTCTCAAAGTCATATAGCACCCAACACTGGTTTGAACCCGAATATCTCCAATTCCAACAATACTTGCTGAACTCTGGTTTCCCATCTTCACACTACCGAAATCTCCAGCTCGGTAGTCAATAAAATACTCCTTATGAGGAACACAATGATAAGAAGCCCCTGTATCAACAAGCCATTCAGAATCAGAATTATCAACATGACAACAATCACCTGCAGTACAAACCAATGAAACACCATCATCTGAAGTAGAAGCTGTCGCCGTTGTATTCTTGTCATCACCCTCTTTGTGATGATCATTTTTCTTCTTTTGCTGGTCTCTTTTCATCTTGTAGCAAAACTTTTGAATATGGCCAGGTTTGCTACAATAGTGACATATAGTTGTTGAAACACGGGTTTATCGTGTTTTCGTACTAAAGCCGTGTTCGTGTTTATGACAGGTTTTGATAATGCCAAACCGCCGTGAACGAGACAAGTTGTTGAATATACAAGGCGAGAAATAAACATAAGAAGAAAGCAAGAGAACAAGACCCAAAAGAAGACCGTAGTCTTAGTGTTGTTGAGTCGGTCATAATTGTGATCAAGACCGACCCAACCTTTACACCTTGGCTCTTTAGGCTAAAATTCTTTTCATTGCATTTCACACATCATAAAAATGTTTTTCAAACATGTTTAAAACATTAAAAACACTTGGTGTTCGCCCAAACCAAAAACCAAGCCATCCAGCGTTCGGGTTTCAGAAACCGGCGTTCGGCTCTCGGTTATCGGCTATGGTTTTTGGCGTCCGAACCAACCGAGTGGTTTTCAACTTTTTATGATTTTTTTTCACTCCTTGGCATGTTTAAACGGTTCTCCAACAAAAACACCTTGAAAACCATCTTTCGCTTTTGGTCGTTTGACAAAAATCATTCAAAAACGGCGTTAACTTGGCTAGCCGTGTTTTTCACTCAAATGACGTGGTTTTTAAAGTGTCTCACTTGATTTCTTAGCCAAATACATCAAATAAGTGTTTTAAAAACTTGGTTTTTACTTTGGAGAACTTTGTATTTTTCGGTCGGGTTTCAGTGCCGGTCGGCTAAGCCATGGTTCTGGGCTAGCCATCCACCCAGCGATGGGAAGATCTTCCCATCGATG